ACATAACACTCTCCTCCCCATCGCTCTCCTCAGCGGGATCTATGGGATCGTCTGGTTCATCGACAACTGCAGCAGGGTCCACTTCTCCGCCCGACGCCGAAGCGCCTCCATTGTTGTTTGTATAACGCACGGGTGTTTGGGGCCTGGCTCCGCGTCTGGCGCGGAGCGCGTCCCGATACGCCTCCACCAGCCGCTGGGCACGGGAGTGTTGAATCTTGCGCCTGCATTTAATATTGTTCGACACATGCGACTGGAGTGTGTTGTCGTCAACATGCTCCAGTCCGCACGCCTCGCAGACGTTGCCCAGCATTGCTAGAGCTTGTGCTAACCCTAACTTCTGCCTACCGATAAGGCTGTTCGTCCATCCGAAGGCACAATATGTGCCTGAATGTTTGCAACTGTTGCAGGTCTCTCCCAGCTCGGTTCCAGCGTATTCATCGCCGGTAGAAACGAGGTTGGTCCATATGACATTTGGCACGTCAGTTGACCTGGTTGATTGAAACTAAAGCACGGTGTGTAGCGGTCAATTTAACGCCGGGCCCGGTATCAATCTGCCAGATGGGCCGTACATGTACCATACTTCCCACTCAGTTGCTAAGTTCTACTTATGATCTTGTGTTTAGCCCACCATTCGTTCTGTCCAACTGTGGCCTTCTATGTTCGCTATGGAACAAACCCGCTAAAAGTGTCACTCACTCCATTCCGGTTACAGTACTATCCGCGGAATCTAAGTCCCTGGTCGGGGGGGGGCAATGTACACTGGTCTCATCCGGGCCACTCATCCCAGCTGTTCCCCCTCCATGCGGTCGATAGTGGCGCCCTCTGTCCGAATGACAATACTCCATGTGTCCATGTCACGTACGCAAGTTCACAACGTTGGTTAGGGTATTGATTACGTGGCGGATAACGTCCGCGTGGGTAATGGCACTGTCCGTTATTAGAGCCCGTTAATCCGTCTCGCTTCCTTCTGTTATAACTCGCGCACCACATGTGCAAAGCGCTGAATTCCCGCCACCATGGCTGAAATGGCCCTTTTGCTCGAGGAGTTACAGGCTCACCCTCAGGACGTGTTCTGCTTTGTGGAAGAAGCCATCCTGCCCACCAAGCTGCCCTTCCGCATTTCTGGTGATGGCCGACTCGACCCGCGTCCCGACTGGCACCTCAACATTGGCTTTCTTTTCAATGCAGCCAGCACCGTCATGTGTCCGCCGCTGGTAATGTTTCGCCTTGAAGACGAGCTTGCGCAGGGCATAGAAAACCCGGCCGGTCATCCCGTCTTCGTGCGCCACACCATCGACGGAACAGTCACCCCCGATGTACGTACTGTCATGCATTATCTCGAGAACCAATGGCTACACCTGATTACAACCGCTGTGACACCCCTACTGACTATACTTCGCACTCGTTGTCTTGCTCCTCACGCAGATATTCAGCGAGTACCTCGAAGCGTTGAACGGCGTCTCGTACTCCACGGACGACCACGTCATTGTCCTTGTAACGAAGGACTCCCACGCTACGACAGACATTTCCGCGATGGAAACGACGGAACATGGTTTCCGCGTCCAAAACTTGAGCAACCTCCGTATCGTTCACATGCACGGCGCTGCGCCACGGTGCATCCATCCCGGCCTGTGTGGGATCGTGGAGTTGTGGAGGACGCTTTATCGTGGATGTTACCTGCGACATTTGATGCGGACTCAAGAGTGGCGCGACGGCTCTGAGTTCCGGCTCCCGCCCCTGTTACACATGATTCGATGGATGGGGGCCTCGTGGTCGGAAGCCACGCCTGCGTCGGTCCATCTTAGCTAGTGGCGCGCTGGATGTGTGTCAGCATCATGGCGACTCGCCATCCGCGCGTACAAGAACCCAGTACTTAGCGTCCTGTCAGAACCACTGGTGTTGGAGCTGGGTCAGCTGCAGTGGCTAATAGACGAGTTCAGGCCTCGGGGCGAAGGCCTCATGCATGCTACAGATTTTGCCCATTGCGAGCAGCTCCTTATACCCCCACGCGTTGAGCGTGTCGGTAACGAGACGCCCGCCTCTGTGGAAGACCCCGTCATAACACTGAACACTCATCCTGGCCCGCTATTCAGTGACAGTCGTTGTCGCAGGCGCGTAGCACGCGTGGTCTCCGAACTACTTGTTCGTCAAGCCATCTCTCTCGGCATACAAGTGCGAGACGCGCCTGAACGGTTTGGTGCGTCGAACGCCGAAGTGGTTAGTCGTCTTCGCCGTACTCCTATTAAGCGTCCCCGAAAGTCTGCTGCGACGGTCATCTAAGAACGTCGATGTCGCTGGGTGCTTGACATGATGCGGTTAATGTCGCTACGATAGCTAGTTAATGTGCTTTCACTAGTGTGCCATGAATCATGTAATAGAGTGTGTTTGACGCGTTTTCAGCATGCGGCACTACGATTGTGAAGGACCTCTCCAAAATATTGTTCGGAAACATCTCGTTCTGCTCCGCTATGTCTCATATTTAAACATTGTACCGGGACTGTGTAAGACGTAAATTCGTGGATAGGGTTTGGTGGCCACACAGGCACCCGAAACCATTCTTCCGCTTTCAAACATAAGATCTTCATATGATGGCATGCAGCCGCAGGTTTGCCAACGCGGCTGTATTTCGTGTTTATCATCTGGCGTGCAGTACCGCGTACGTCACATCACATGCTAATGAACGAATGACGAGTGCAGTTTTAGCATGACACGTGCGGCGCCCGGACGGAGCTGCTTTTCCGCACCAAAACGTCGAATCTGGAGTTGGCGCGCAGTGTGACACAGTGGTTGCCATGTACATCTTTTGAGTTCCTCTCAACACACAGACGCAACCGTCTGCGTGCACTCCCATGTCTAGTATATTCTTCCGTTTGTCCGTGCGGAACTCATTTGAGGTTTGAAAATGAAAATGCGGATCTATCCGCCTCTTAGCGTCATGAGTCCTGTTAGCGTGCTCGGATTCTCCTTCTCCAAGCAGCTTAGTTAGCGTCATAGCCTGCAAGGGCACACGATGAACATACAGCATATGCTCACACACAGAGGCAACTCTTCCGGTGCCGCAAGTACACTGACAACTGTGAAGACGTCTGGAGTGCGCCGTCAGCGGAAAGTGAAGAACGAGCCCCGTGCTGAGCGAAGGGTACAAGCGGCGGCCAGCGGCGTAACTGTTTCTGGATCAGCAACACCACCGCCACCGGATGACGTTGTTTCTCACCTGCGGAACCCCACCTATCAGCGCAATTTTCAGACGTTGGCGCTGTACGGTCCCCATGGAGTGGGATGTCAGCTGACTGCCCAAGACGCTCTCACCCTCGCGGACGGCGAGTGTCTGGCGGACACCGTTGTAGACTTCCACAACATGTGAGTGTTCCAAGAACTGCACGACTGCATGGTTACTAACTGGATTTTGCCGTCACTGATTATGCGACTCACACGGGTGTTTTTTATTTCAGCCTTCTTAACATTCGTCATCCGAGGCTCGAGGGTGGAAAGACATGGTTCCCTCTTGATACAAAGGCCTTCGTTTACGCGACATCACTGAACAAGGCGTGGCCTCTTAGGCATGCACCATGTATCTTCGCGCAGGATTACCTTGCCATCCCCGTCTATTACGAGTAAGTATTGGTTGGAGTACCGTTGTATAAATCTTACGGTTGTGATGATGCTTAAAAAAAGTCCTGAAGCACGACTCTAATAACGTCCGTTTTTAATATGTTTCAGAGGCCACTACTCCCTCGTGATCGCCATGAACCTTGCCGGCATGGTCAGCGGCAAGCTTTCTGAGACAGTAGAGGACAACGTTCAGCTGGTGCATTACGATAGCGCGTCGTTGCACACCAAGAAACCGGAAGTGATGGAAGGCGTCAAGAAGTGAGACATGCTCACGTTGTCCGTTGTCGTTGTGGTAGTTATAGTATTAACTGTTCTAACATCCTAACCGTCAACGATCTATGCAGGATGTTGCTTATGCTTCACACAGCTCAGCTTCCCACTGCTGACCGGAAGACGGCCGCGAACAGCCTGGACTGTGCCGAAATCACGATAATGGATGTGAGTACAGCATACATGCTGATGGAGCTATGTGCCTTCTGGTGTGCGTACGTGTGCTCACGTTCCGTCTTGCGCTCGGTGTATGTGCCATTTGGCAGCCTGAAGAAATCCCGACCCAGTCGAACTCTGTGGACTGTGGGATATACGTGTGCATGTATCTTCACGCACTGGTGTCGTCCGGCTTCACTATCATCAAGCGGTGGATGACGTTCTACGGAAAGAAGTCGCATACCTACAGGCGGCAGTTACGGGAGGAAGTGTCGCTGCACACGACGGGTGACCTTGTGGTCAGGCTTTTTGGTGAGGGCGTAGAGGTTCCACTGCAGCCACTTCCCCAGTTGGGTGAGTTTGGGGCCCTAGTGTTTCCCAAGGAAGACGAAGTGCGTACCGACCTGGCAAGGCAGTCCGGCATGGTAACCCGGATGGAGCTTGGGGGTTACGTGGTATGCGCGGCGGTAACAAGCCTGGCACGAGCGTGTGGGATATCGGAGGAGCAGCTGCTAAGCGGTGCAGCCCACGAGCTCCAGACCTACGGGACTCCTCTACTGTCGTTGTCGACGTCACATAACCAGGTGGATCACGCGGCATCGATGAAGACGCTCGCCAGCTCCATCCATGCTACACCATGCCCGCTGCCGGTGCCATCGTCATTTCGGCCTAAAGTCGATGCTGCCTCTCCTGGTCAAAGGCCCGAGTCACCACCTCAAGCCGTGCCCACGAAGGAGGAATCCGAGAATCCTACGACTCCAGTAACACCGGAAGCACCAGGCAGGCCTTGTCGGACTCGAAGGGCTAGCAGTCGTCTGGGAGGAATGGAGGAATCACGCACAGTGCGTAATATCAGTATGCAATCCGCGAACGGCAATCGTCCAGCTTCAAGCCGGTGGACTGGGGTGAGCTGGTGTCCCCGTGGCCATAAGTGGGGGGTGAAGATGGTGTGCGGACCCGGTATGGGACAACAGATCAGACTTGGTGCGTACAACGTGGAGGACGATGCGGCATATGCCTATGCCGCGGCTGCGTACGTGATCCGGCGCAAGGATCACATCCCGCACATGAAGGTGCTGACTGATACAGAGATGGCAGCGCTGGATGGGTGTGTCAGATCGGACGTGAGGCACCTTGTGAAGGCTCGTCTGTGGTGGAGGTGGCGTCAGTGGAGGACAGCAATGGCAGAAGTGGGCATTGCACCCGGGACTCCATTCCCTCTCGAAAATGGAGGTTCCCGCTCGCCTCCTATCAGAATTGGTGATGACGAAGGGGAGTACCCGCTGACACTGAAGGATGATGCATCTGACGAGGAGATGCAAGAGCCAGAGCTGGGGTAGGAGCGTCACTTATTCCACTCGCTCTGTGCTGGGATAGGATCCTTGGCGTCTAGCTTGTTTGTTGTGAGTGAAAAACGTTTGAGCCATGCTAGTGGTTGTATTAGCAGGATGTGAAAGGAAATGGCAAGGATTGTAGAAATGTTTACATTAGAGCAATACATTTATTGCTTTGTACGTGTTTACCTGTAGTTATCCCACAACTCATGTCGCATGTCTTGTGCAATATGTCTGCTGATAAGTGTACTGTTGTTGGCATATTAGAGAGGCACGGACGCGACGTCGTATCGAGTGCTGTGGATAATGTTGGGTACATCGAGTGCCAAGTGTGCAAATCCGGCGAATGACGAAACTAGTCTGGCAGCCAAGGGCGAGCCACGTGGAAGGAGACACGGCATAGCAGAGGTCAGGATGGGTCATTCACTGCGTAAGTATAGACAATCTGTGCCAAAATGGACTAATTCCTGCCCACACAACTAGCGTCAATGGACAGTTTTACCGCCGGACCCGTCTCGTCCCGTGAGGGCAGGAGTCAGCGCGTGTCCCAGCCTCCAGCTTACCTGCTGAACTCTTACCTTCTGCCTGGCACAGTTAGGCGTCAAGTGACGGCCAAACCTCGTCGGTCTCTTCCGAAAAACGCCAGTGCGCAACAAGCACGGGCTCCTCCTTCGGCCCCGCGTAAGTCGGCGTGTTTTATGGATTTGTTTTGGCATACTTGGATTTAATAATGTGCGCCGCAATGCTTGGGGCCAATATAACGGTACTAATCTGGTGTCGTCACATTTACATGCTGCAGCTGTCACTCCCTCCCATGGGGGCGGAGACTCGCGAATGTCACATGGCAGCACGTCCGACAGTAGCTCGTCAACCGCACGGTCCAGCCGGCAGGACGAGGAGGATGCTGTGGAAGGGGAGTCGTCGCGCCGCCGGCGCAAACGCAACGTTAACGAAGTCCTCCAGGGGTCCGCACGCCAAGAATGCGAACCCGAAGCACCGCCAGCTGCATCTTCGGATGACAATCCCAATGAGGCCCTCCCGAGGCTCAACCCCGTGCAGAGCGATGACGAAGATGCTGCGGAAGCCGAGGACGAAGAAGAAGCAGGCGCGGATGAGGAGGACGCTGGCGCGGAAAGTTGGCCGGATGAAACTCCGGTGACAGGAGGAGATGGCTAGCTTGCGCGAGCTGCAGGAAGCTACAGCACGTGCAATTTCCAGGCTGGAATCTGTGTTTCTTGCAAAGCCTGCAGGTGACGGCGAACAGAAGAGGAAGAGGCGTCGGAAGCACGCATCCGGCAATGGAAAGCGACGTAAGGCACGTCGTACTCGGACCACATCGGATACGGCGTCCGAGGATGAGGAAGAGGCCGAGGAAGGACTTGAGGGTCACATTCGATCGTCGTCATCAGCGATTCTGCAAGAGGCACTCAGTCTTCTGCCTGCCGACAAGGGATGGAAGGTACGCTTCACGTGATGTTTGCCAACGTGGGTGTATTTTGCGCTTCTGCGTTTTGCGGACCAAGTGGGCCAGTTGATGATGAGCAGCGTCTGTCGCCCCTGCAGCAAATATGTGAGCAGGCTCGCGACCATCTTTTCATACGGCGGCCCAACAAGCATTTGACGTTCTACCCGAGCAGCGCCGCCAAGACCTGGGGCATATGCGCAGTCGTTGATAACCTCCCTGTCAACTACGCAAGCCTTGCACTCGCGGCTGACAGTGCACGTCGGGTCGACTTCAACAGGTCTCTCAGCGACTGGAAGACGGGTGCTGCTGGGAGGGTCCGCGACATCTCGCTCCCTAAGCTGGGGTTGTTTCGCGACGAGCGTGACGCAAAAAGCCCCTGGGCGGCACCCTCTATGCGTACACTGGCGAGGGTCCGGGATAGGGTCGGCCTTGGAGACGTCGACGCGGGTACGATCAGTGTTAGTGGTTTTAACGCTTTCACGCTGAAAATGGAGAAAGCCTCGTGTCTAATGCGTGCACATGTCCTGTGTGGTGAATGTTGCATAGAGGCTTGCACTCTCTCGCTGGAGTTATGATCGTAACGGGATTCCATTCGCATCTGGCGCATTTACCGCATGCGCAAGAGCGGCGTTCAGGCCAAGGATGGTGAACGGGATAGTGAAGCTGAAGCTGTACCACGTGGCGTGGCTGGAGCACGTGGTATGAAGACTCACCTGCGTATAAAAATGGTCTGGTTTCCCAGCCTTTGGAATGATGAATGCGTGCTTCTGTGCGGTGCTGTGCGTAGGTGACAGATGCAATCCGGAACTGGGAGGCGCGCAAGGGCTGCCTATCAAACTCCACAGGATGTAACGCGCACATCGTGGACGGCCTCCACGTCCTTGTGAAGAGTGCTGTTACCCGGGCCATCGCTGAGTTCAAGCCAGAGTACGATGCGGCGTCTCAGACGTGGGCCTGGGGCCGCCATGGTCTCCGCATCTCTGCGGACGGCACAGCTGGCGGGAGGTGTTAAGATAGTAGGCAGAACGAGGAGCCATGGCTAGGGTTTAGCTAGCCAGGCAAGACAGAATAAGCAAAAGAAGAGAGGGGGTTTCACTAGCAGCAATGAGGATACATATAGCAAACCCTAGATGGGTTGTACTCGCTATAGAGCACCCCACTACAGGCTAGAGAATAACATTCTGACACACCCCCATAGCCAAAGTGGGGTGTAATCAGTACAATGAGCAAGCAGGTATAGAGCAGGAGTTCACAAAGGTAAGCAAAGCTAGAGCTAATCACAGAGGGCAAGTGAGGAGGAGGAGAGACTGTGGAGGGAGAGAAGATGGGAGGCAACGACTGAAGCTGCAGAGGCACGGGCACAGGAGCGGCTGACTCAGAGGCTACCGAAGCAAGGGCGACGGACTACTGGAGTGACTGGCTCCGCGGCTATAGACGAGCGGCAGGAGCAACGGACCCACTGGCGACTGGTGCAACAGGCTCACTGGCTACCGAAGCAAGGGCGACGGACTACAGGCGCTGTAGGCGACAAGACAGCTACCTTCACACAACCTTCTCCAACTGCCCCACTCCCCTCTCACACACCCCCTGTTCAAACCCTAGCTCCACTCCCACAGCACCCCCCTTAAACCCTAAACCCTAGGCTCCCACACACCCACCCCCCTCAGCGGCAGCTGCAGCAGTGGGAGATAGAGGAGGAGGAGCAGGGAAGGCCACACACCCGCCACCCCCTACTCGCCACCCCCAAACCCGAAGACAGGGCAGGGCAGGGTGGCGGGTGGGGGGGGGGGGGGGGGGGGGGGGGGGCAGGGCCGCGACGAAGAAAGGAGGGGCCGAGGCGCGCCCCCCCAGGGCGCCAGAGCAGGCGGCAGAAGAGGCGACGCGCGGGCCCCCCAGGTCGCCCCTCCCGTCGCCTGTCGAGGCGACCTGAGGGGGCCGCACCGGGGCGGGGCCGCGACGGGGCCGAGACGAGGCCGCGACAGGCGTCGGGGCAGGGCCGGGGCGGGACCGCGACGGGGCCGCGACGGGGCCGCGACAGAGCCGCGGCGGGCGACGGGGCAGGGCCGGGGCGGCGCCGCGACAGGGCCGTGACGGGGAGGCGTCGGGCGACGGGGCAGGGTCGCGACGGGGGGCCGCGACGAGAGGGCGCGACGGGGGGCCGCGACGGGGGGGGGACGCGACGGGGGGCCGCGACGGGGGGCGGCGACGTGGGGCCGCGACGGGGCCGCGACAGGCGACGAGGCAGGGCCGGGGCGAGGCACCGCCGCGCGCCACGGGGCGCCCGACGGTCAGAAAACCGCCGCGCGCCACGAGCGCGCGGCGGGAAGAAAAAAGGGCCGCGCGCGCGCGCTCGAGGCGCGCGTTAGGCAGAGTAGTAGCAGCGGAAGCAGGTGGGCCCACAGGCCAAGAGCGTAACAGCTCTGACACCATGTTAAGATAGTAGGCAGAACGAGGAGCCATGGCTAGGGTTTAGCTAGCCAGGCAAGACAGAATAAGCAAAAGAAGAGAGGGGGTTTCACTAGCAGCAATGAGGATACATATAGCAAACCCTAGATGGGTTGTACTCGCTATAGAGCACCCCACTACAGGCTAGAGAATAACATTCTGACAGGAGGACCGCGAGCGCCCAAGCAAGCGCCAGCCTTGGGACTCCGCAGGCTTAACTGAAATGGGGGCTCGCCGAGCCGTTAGTCTGCGCCATGACGCTCACTGACACGAACTCTTCCTTGAAGAGTTAATTTGCCTTACGTGGGGGGGGGTTAGTGTATGGGCGAGGAGGTTGCTTATGAAGTGAGAAGAGAGAATATGTAATTGAAGCGGGATATGAGAAGCACTATTGAGAATGGTCAGATACCGTCGCTCAAACTCATCCCGTACACAAACCCAAGTGCATGTTGAGAACAGTATTCATAGCCCCAAGAACCATACTGCGGCATTGCTACCGCTAGGGATTCGTTACGGCCAAAAGGATTCCTCCGATGTTAATAGGCGGCTCGACCTAGCGCCGTTGGATGCCGTGAGATGATGGCATCCGTCTGGGCATGACGAACGTTTACAGCCGTAGATGGAGGAACCGCGGTGCGACGAGTGTCGTCGATGTGTGGAATTGTGGACGGTAGGATGCATGCCAGGTGGAGGACAAATCCGTGCGTCACATGATTTAGGCCGTACAGGTCGGTGACTGTCAACGGCATCCCGGGTGAACACGTTGCATAATTCAACGTGTGATGGGGGCGTGGGTGGTGCAGTATCGTCGATGCACCCAGGCGTGGACGGTGGGATATCGATATGCATGGGTAGAACAAGGGTCAAATGTAAAATTAAAGCCGTACACGTGGTCATATTTCAACGTCATCTGGCGCGTACACGTAAGGGGTCAGCCAGAAGCAGACTGGAATTTCAACGAATAAGGCGCAAGCGTGTGTCACACATGGTGCATCGGCATTGTGTACGAACTCTAAAAATGAAGGGCGCGGATACAATGTTGTTTTGATCCTCTTCGTTCACGTGCAGGCAGGTGATTGGGGGGTGCGATGATCCGGAGCGCACAGTACAGTAGACTGTTGAAACTTGATGGTCGACACGCTGACCTAATGCTCGCCAGATGTCGGGCCGACGTTAAAAGCAGACAAATTGTGACATTTGGCGGATTGCACATTGGCATCCAGCGGGGTTACGAACGCGTGACGTGCACGTGACATAGCCGTAACATGTCCGTCATGTTGAAAGTGACGTCAGTGTGATGTCAACGTGACATTTTCATGACCTTTTGGTCACTTTGTATGTGACGGAAAACCCGGTACTTCCAATCATCACATTTTTATCCCATAATTCCGTATACGTAATAGTGGCGGGAAAGTCACAATTACGTCACTTTCGGCACTTGTCTTTTCCGCGATGCAGGGAGGTAGCAACCTTAGTAGGCTTGAAAAACGAGTATAGAGTGCTCTCTGGAGTTCTCTGGATTTTTGCAATATGACTTCAACAAATTTCACACACAATTTTATAGGATGCATTCACAAATCGAGTTGCACTACCAAGTCGCGACACTCTGAATTTCTTATTGGTAACTCTACCCCTTGAAATGAACCTTGCCGTGAAATTCAGAGATCGATTGCGATGCGGGATTGGTCGACGAGTTGATTACAAGGCTGTAACTTCGTCGGTGTGGTTGGCGAAGTCGGCGAGGGGTCGGAACTTCGGTGTTCTGCGTTTCGTTATTTTCGTGCGTGGGATTGACTTGGGCTGCGCGTCAGGATCTGGTCGCCCAGCTGCAGGTTGAGGCGTTTGACCAATACGAACAGTTGGTGAGGTGGCGCTTGACTTCCGCCCACCTGCACTGTACTTGGCAGCACTCGGCTGCCACACTGTTACATTACTTCCCCCTCCAAGTGGCGCCGTCCACGGCGCCAAACCGCGGCTGGTCAAGTACCGATTCACAGCAGTTGCGGCACGGTCAACGTGGCTCTCAGGTTCCCATGAGTCTTCACTAGCCGGCTGATCTTTCCAATGAATGAGGAACTCACGACCATGAGGTGTGTCACGGTGAGCAGCGATAGATGCAACCTCAAAGAGGCCGGGGCTGCCTTCGAACATCGGTGGCAGTTGGCGTGCGGCTGGACGGTCGTGTGAAGGTGCACGGAAAGGGCGGAGGCGCTGGACATGGAAGACGGGGTGAATCTTCATATAGCTGGGCAGTTGGAGGCGGTAGGTGACTGGTGAGAGGACTCGGTTGATGGTGAACGGGCCAATGAAGCGAGGGGCGAGTTTCCTGGTTGTGCCTTTGCGTAGGAGAGGGAGATGATCAGTGGAGAGAAGTACTTGGTCATCAACCTTGAAGCGGATATCTTTGCGGTGAGAGTTGGCATAGTGGGTCTGTTTGGCTTGTGCTTTAAGGATGGAGGTGCGAGCGGCATCAATGACTGATTCGAGTGAAGTGAGGAACTCAAAGGCTGCTGGTGCGTGGGAGAGGTGGGAGGGTGGGGTCGATGGGAGGCGTGGGTGCTGTCCGGTTGCGAGGTAGAAGGGTGGCTGGCCGGTGGAAAGGTGGGGTGTGCTGTTGTATGCGAGTTCGATGGCAGTGAGGTGGAGATCCCAATCAGTTTGGCGAGCAGTAACTTGTGCACGGAGGGCGTCTTCAAGCGTGCAGTTCATCCGTTCGGTTTGTCCGTCCGTTTCGGGGTGATACGCTGTAGAAAACTTCAGCCTTGTGCCGTGAAGCTTGAAGAGGCTTTGCCAAAAGTTGCTCAAGAAGCGAGGGTTGCGGTCTGAAATGATGGCGGATGGGAGGCCGTGTAAGCGGACTATGTGATCGAAGAAGAGCCGGGCTGTTTCGGGTGCGGTGACGGTTGTGTGGGTAGGAATGAAGTAGCTCATTTTGGAGAGTCGGTCGACGACGACTAGGATGGCGTTGTAGCTGCGGGGTGTTCGGGGCAGGTCCATGATGAAGTCCATTGTGACTTCATCCCACACTTTGGTAGGTGGAGGGATGGGTTGAAGGAGTCCGTAGCGGTTGGTGGTGCGTGCTTTGAGTTGTTGGCAGGTTCGGCATGTGCGTATGAAGTCACGCACATCAGCATACATGCGTGGCCAATGGTAGTCGTTGGAGAGGCGTGCGTAGGTCTTCTCAACACCAAAGTGGCTGCCGGTAACATTGTCGTGGTATTCGGAGAGTAGCAGCTGCCGTAAGGAGCGATCAGCAGGGACACAAATGGTCTTCGTAACACTGTTGTACCAGAATGGGTCTTCAAATGAGTAGGCCGGGTCCTCGGGTGCTTGCTTGACAAAAAACAGGTCATGTTTGTAGGCGCGCTGAAATTTCGTGATGAAGGTATCATCCCAGGTGATGCTGCTGGTTCCATGGAGTTGCAAGGGTGGGTTTGGAGTGTGAGGTGGAGGTGATGAGGTGGGGCTGGTTGGGGCTTGGTGGGGCTGGTTGGTTTTTGGTTTGGGCTGGACGGTGGGTGGTGGGGCTGGTGGTGGTGGTCGAGACAAGATGTCAGCTGGGTTGAGTTTTCCGGGACGGTAGATGATCTGAAGTGAGGGGACGAACTGCTCCAGAAACTCAACCCATCGGGCTTGGCGACGGCTGAGCACGGGCTGTGTTTTTAGGTGTTGAAGAGGGCGATGGTCGGTGTAGACGGTGACGGGCTGCAGCTCCACGTAACAGCGCCATGTCTTGATTGCGTGGACAATGGCAAGGAGCTCCCGATCGTGTGTGGCGTAGTTGCGCTCTGCCGGTTGAAGTTTGCGTGACTCAAATGCAAGTGGCTGCATCCCATGGCCGTGGTCTTGGCAAAGAATGGCACCAACGGCGACATCGGAGGCATCGGTCCATATGAAGTATGGGCGCGATGGGTCAGCGACGGTGAGGACCGGTGCAGAGGTGAGTGATGATTTGATTGCGGTGAAAGCGGTCTGCTGCGGTAGTCCCCACTGAAAAACAGCTCCTTGACGGAAAAGATCGGTCAAAGGGGCGCAGATGTGAGAGAAGTTGAAGATGAATTTCCGGTAATACTTGGCGAGGCCGATGAAACTTTGCAGCTCCGCTACCGTGCGTGGTGCTGGCCAATCAGCAAGGCACTGGACCTTTGCGGGGTCCATAGCAATGCCTTTGGTGCTGGTGACATGGCCGAGAAAGCCGATGCTTGAACGGGCGAAGGTGCACTTGGAGAGCTTGGCGTAGAGGCGGTGTTGGCGAAGCGTGTCGAGGACGATGCGTAGGTGCTGAGCGTGTTCTTCGAGTGACTTGCGGAAAATGAGGATGTCATCGAGGAACACGATGACAAATCGGTCTAGGAAAGGCCGGAAGATGTCGTTCATGAGACCCATGAAGGTGGCTGGAGCGTTGGTGAGGCCGAACGGAAGAACTCGATACTCGAAGTGGCCGTAGCGGGTTCGAAACGCCGTCTTGCTGATGTCGTCTTCGGCGAGGCAGATCTGGTGGTAACCGGATCGTAGGTCGAGCTTGCTGAAAACCGTTGCTTCCCCAAGCATGTCGAACAACTCCTCGACACGGGGCAGCGGGTACTTATTCTTGATTGTGATGGCGTTGAGGGCGCGGTAGTCGATGCAAAGACGCAGGTCACCTTCCTTCTTGCGAGTGAAAAGCACAGGGGCAGCGTATGGTGAGGTGCTAGGGCGGATGAAACCCTTCTCAAGAAGGTCGTCGAGTTGTCGTCGTAGCTCCAAAAGTTCAGCAGTGCTCATGCGATAGGTTGGGCGCACGGGCGGTGTAGAACCTGGAATGAGGCGGATGCTATGGTCAATAGCACGCTCGGGTGGAAGTTCGGCGGGTAGATCATCGGGAAATACATCCGTATAGCCGTTGAGCAGATTCTGTATGGGTGGTGGCAGAGAAGTAGCTGATGCTTCAGATTCGGGAGCTGTGAAGATGACTAGGAGATGAGGAGGAGGAGGTGGTGAAGGAGGGGTGGGGGCTGGTGGATTGATAACTTCAGAGGCGGGGCGGATGATGGGACGGCGTGGCTGCTGGGTTGGGTGGGGTGGAGAAGGAGGAGGTGTGTTGATCACTTCGGGAGAGCCGGGTGGTGTTGGCTGCTGCACGGGAGCTATGCGAGGAGGAGGGAGAGGGGGGATATGGGAAGATGGAGATGGGGCACGTTGGGGTGGGTGGGTTGATGAAGCGGAACCGGTTGGGGATGACCATGGTCGGCAGAAAGAGTGGGATGGGAGGTCGTAGTTGCCGATGGTGACAGTTCCGTTGCGCCAATAAATCCACGGTCCAAACTGGTGCAACCATGGTCGTCCGATAACGCCTTCGTACCCGCCGAGATGCAGTTGCTCGAACGTGACCGTCGCCTCCAGGCTTCCAAACATGCAATGCATGGGGAGGAGAGTAGGTCCGCAGCGCCGCCGAGTACCATCTGCCATGATCACGTCCGCCGGGTTGCTGTTGGGATCTTCGGGGAGAGAAAGTTCAGCAGCAATCGAGGGAGAGAGGAAATTTGCGGAAGCGCCGGTATCGAGTAGAAAGTCAACGTAGCGATTCTTTATTTTTGCATATAGGATGATGGCGGGGAATGGAGCGTTTGAGGTGGTGTAGAGTTCAGAGGTGCCGATGAACAATGGGGTTGGTAGAAGCGGGGCATGCGATGCGCCAGCGGTCTGCCCCACAGCTACTGGCGCTGTCCGTTTCCCGGAGACCTTTCAAAGTTGCGGCGGTTCGGGCAGTGTCGCTTAATGTGACCAACTTTCCCGCACGAGTAGCACGTAAGCATGGACTGGTTGTGTGCGCGCTGGTCCACTACACCGAGCTCCATGGGAGTAGGACTGTTGGTGCGGTAGGTAGGTCCAGCAGTGGTGTGCTGCCCGGTTCGTCCTTGGAATCGCTGGTACGCTGCAAAGTTGATGGTGTCGAAACGCTCGGCGACACGAATCATCTCATCCAACGTCGTAGCGCCACGGAGTTCAACCTCGGTGCGGATTTTCGGCTTCAGCCCACGCTTGAACTTGTCCATCTGTTCAGCAGCAGGGATGTCAGGAATCTCAAGCACGAGCTCGCGGAAGCGATTGATGTACTCAGCGACCGAGCGGTGTTGGCGTAAATCAGCAAGGTTGTCACGTGCGCGCTCGATGGCGTTGACCGGTTCGAAGTTCATTAAGAGCGATGCAGAAAATTCTTCCCATGTTGAAATTGTAGCGTGGCAGCTCTGCCACCAAGTAGCAGCAGCTCCTCGCAGCATCATGCCGGCGTGCTGAGCCCACTCCGCCCGGTTGACATGACAAAGGGAAAGGTATTCCTCCACTTGGAAAAGCCACCTTCGCACCGGTAAGTGACGTTTTCCAGGGATGAACGGTTCAGGTTCGGGTGCTTTGAGTCGTGCAGAAACCACAGCAGGTGCTGGCGCCGGCACCTGTGTGCCCAGGAGTCCACGTTCCTGGAGTTCGCCGAGGATCCGGTCACGCACCTCGCGTTCAATTTCTCGGCGCATATTGGCTACAAACTCGTTCCAGAGTTCCAGAGTCATATCAGACGGCCGAGCCATAGGGTCTAGAATATGGCGGGAGCGTGCGAAATGACTAACCAGGCTCTGATTACCAGTGAAACGTTGCTGGCAGGGAGGTAGCAACCTTAGTAGGCTTGAAAAACGAGTATAGAGTGCTCTCTGGAGTTCTCTGGAATTTGCAATATGACTTCAACAAATTTCACACACAATTTTATAGGATGCATTCACAAATCGAGTCGCACTACCAAGTCGCGACACTCTGAATTTCTTATTGGTAACTCTACCCCTTGAAATGAACCTTGCCGTGAAATTCAGAGATTGATTGCGTTGCGGGATTGGTCGACGAGTTGATTACAAGGCTGTAACTTCGTCGGTGTGGTTGGCGAAGTCGGCGAGGGGTCGGAACTTCGGTGTTCTGCGTTTCGTTATTTTCGTGCGTGGGATTGACTTGGACTGCGCGTCAGGATCTGGTCGCCCAGCTGCAGGTTGAGGCGTTTGACCAATACGAACAGTTGGTGAGGTGGCGCTTGACTTCCGCCCACCTGCACTGTACTTGGCAGCATTCGGCTGCCACACTGTTACATAGAGCGTACCTGTGGATAGGGTGTGGGCGTTCACTTGAGAGGGATCAGAGGCACATTACGAATGTGTGTGGCGCGGATTTCGATGACGACGCGCAAAGATAGTGTTCGTCGGGTGAAGAGTTTGGTGTCGAAATGCAGGTTTTTATGCAACAGCTGCGTAAAATCACGGCGAAAATTGAATCCCCACCCGTTCGCCCAAGCGTGACCCTCCCCTTGCCCTGGCTTTCCTTTCCCTACGTCCTGCGCTTCCGCTCTCTGTCACGCGCGTCATCGCCATCGCTTCCCCAGCTTGTCGCCTTCGCGACCCCAGCTCAATGCCTTCGCAACACTAGCCCGATGCCTTCGCGACCCCAGCCCGTCGCCTTCGCTCCGCCCGTCGCCTTCACTTCCCCCTCCCGTCGCCTTCGCTCTGCCCGTCGCCTTCACTTCCCCCTCCCGTCGCCTTCACTTCCCCATCCCGTCCCCTTCACTTCCCCCTCCCGTCGCCTTCACTTTCCCCTCCCGATGCCTTTACTTCCCCCTCCTGTCACCTTTGCTTCCCCCTCCCGTCGTCTTCGCTTCCCCCTCCTGCCGCCTTCACTTCCCCCTCCTATCTCCTTCACTTCCCCCTCCCGTCGCCTTCCCTTCCCCCTCCCTACGCCTTCACTTCCCCCTCCTGTCGCCTTCCCTTCCCCCTCCCTACGCCTTCACTTCCCCCTCCCGTCGCCTTCACTTCCCTCCCGTTGCCTTCACTTCCCCCTCCCGTTGCCTCACTCGCATCGCCTTCACTTCCCCCTCCCGTTGCCTCACTCGCATCGCCTTCACTTCCCCCTCCCGCCGCCTTCACTTCTCCCTCACGTTGCCTTCACTCCCCCCCTCCCCCGGTCGCCTTCACTTCCCCCTCCCATTGCCTTCACTTCCCCCTCACGTTGCCTTCACTCCCCCCCCCCCCCACCCCCGTCGCCTTCACTTCCCCCTCCCGTCGCCCCACTTCCCCCTCCCGTCGCCCCACTTCCCCCTCCCGTCGCCTTCACTTCCCCCTCACGTCGCCTTCACTTTCCCCTCAAGGCGAGTATGCGATGCGTTCCCGAAAAAAAAAAAAATCAGAGGCCGTCAGAAAGGGGTCACAATGGCGTGGATGACGAGAAGTAAGTAACATGCGGCGGGTGGCGACCACAACGTGGAAGGTGCCCACACGGTGGAGTAGTGTTTCGCACTTTTGTGCGGGGTTTGGTCGTTGAATTCGGCCGAAAGTGCGGCCGTCTTTAGCGCATTTCCCGTTATTACTAATCTCGTGTATTTTGTGAAGTTGGACAATGCGTTAGTCGCTTCCTGTTATATCTCTGCTAGTGAAATGGGAGTATCGCGTACTACGGGTGCTAACGTGACCTGAATTACAGATTTCGAATTGTGCACAGGCCAGCCCAAGTCTTACTTGGGGGGAGTGGTTGGGACACTGGCCAACAATCCAGTGTCACTCTAACACTCCTAGGCATTTTTGCTAGACGATATCTGGTAACCAGAGAGGCTCAGGAGCATAGTCTGGAATCGGAAGGCAAAATCTGCACATTTTGCCTTCCATTCTTTGTAATTCATGTATTGGGCTTTAAGTCGCAGCCGACGCTCTCACGATGACAGATGGACATCCTGGAAACATACTTCCACTATGACATCCTCTAGAAGCCAAGGCTACACAACAAGGCCGACGCACTAAGCCGCCGCCCAGGACATGTAGCAGGCATCCAGCTCGATGGGCTGAGTTCTCTGCTCAAGGGTCTATTCCAACATGGGTACTCCGTGGACGCGGAAACCATGACAGCAGAAAGCAGAAACTACTATAGTGGGAAAAAGACTTAGCGGTATGGAAAGGCTCATGAAAGATTTGGGTACTGAACTATGCCCCGCTCCGACAGATCTTACAGGGGGAGTTCCATGACATAGCATACGCAAGACATTTCGAAAGTAACAAGACATTAGAGGGAATAGCAAAGTATTACTACTGGCCCCGGATGGCAGCAGGCGTGCAGCAGTTCGTCACCTCATGCAACACGTGCTAGCGGATGAAGAGTAGCAAGCAGAAAAATGCAGGGTTACTTCAGCCTCTACCCATACCGGAGCAGCCAAGACAAGTCGTTAGCCTAGACTTCATCACTGGGCATCCTTCGACTTCACGAGGGCATGAAGCTATACTCGTAATGATCGACAAGTTCTCTAAAATGGGACACTTCATCCCAACCAACGCCACGGCTACAGCTGAAGCAACTGCTCGCATCATCTTCGACCGCATCGTCACCATCCACGGCCGCTACACTCATCTCGGACAGGGACCCAAAGTTCACAAGTAAGTTCTGGAGGGAACTCATGGGTTTGTTGGGGACAAAGCTTGCAATGTCTTCAGCGTACCACCCCCATACAGACCGACCGACAGAGCAACTCAATCAGGTGGTTGAGCAGTTACTGTGTACAGCACGCAAAGATGACATCAGCCACTGGGATCTACAGTTCCTGACGCTTCAGTTCGCTTACAACAATGCATCTCATGCGGCCACAAGAAAAACTCCTTTCTTCCTGTGTTATGGGCGTTAACCACTTACACCACAGCAGCCAACCACACCGGCGCATGTCCAAGCTACACATGACTTCATCACCACGATGCAGCAGCTATGGGAGAAGACTCAACGACGTTTCACCACGATACAGAACTCAATAGCAGTATGCGGATCTATAGTGACGAGATCACTCAGTAGCAGTCGGAGATCAGGTGCTTCTTGACACATGCAAATTGGACTTGTCTCGTCTTTCGTCCAAGATCCAGCCTCACTTCTGTTGTCCTTTTCACGTTGAGGCCATGGTGACACCAGTAACATTTTGCTTGCGTTTACCAACTATGTGGAAGCTTCACAATGCTTTCCATGTTCAGCTACTGAAGCCCTACAAGGACCCCAACAAACAGTTCAAGGGACGAGTGCTACCGCCACCACCACCTGTTCTCGTACAAGATGAATCGAGTATGAGGTGGAATGTGTCCTCGCTCATCGACACAGATGCGGCAACACACTCGAGTTCCTGATACGCTAGAAGGGATATGACCCGTCAGAAGACAGTTGGGTTGTAGAAGCTGATATGGGCAACGCACGCCGTCCTCTCAATTATTATCTTATCAAGCAGGGTGTTTCTCACGCGACCCAGCTTTGAGGGGGTGACATGTGAGAGTACGACGGCTTTACCTACTTCAAATTACTTTATCAGGCATTATCTTGCTTAGATTTATTATACATGCTTTTGCTTGACTACCTTAGAATCGTTGATTACTATATTTTATTATTTTTATAACACCGTTCTAGGTTGCGTGGACCGAATTCTGTGCTTTTCACTTTACATCGAAAGGCCTCTACCAAATTCGGGAAGGATCTATTCGGGACGTTTCGCGACCCTCGGAACCTTCACGCAACATCTTTGTTGATGCCCTTGTGTCGTGCCTATATATAGCTTCGTGTTGTACCCAGGATTCATAATATATATTCTGAACTCGATCCTATCAATCCTGACACAAAGCTACGATCACTCAACCCATAGTTCAGCTCCCACAATTGTAGAGTAACTCCGCACTTACAAGGTGGCCGTGTCCCCAAGTTTGCATTGAAACTTATTAGCTCGTCAACTGTCGCTTTGAGAGTTACAAACCGCCCCTCACTGGCTTAGGTGGGCGGCCTAGCTCTGCCCCGGCCTTGTACGCTGACAACATGGATTTGTTGGAACTAAGATTACGATGTCTTCAGCATACCACCCCCAAACGAACAGACTGACTGGCGGAACGAGTAAATCAGGTGGTTGAATAGTTACTGCGCGTGCAAGGACGATATCAGCCATTGGAATCTATAGCTGCCGACTCTTGAGTTCGCCTACAACAATGCATCTCATGTGGCCACAGGGAAATCACCTTTCTTCCTATGCTACAGACGTGAACCTTTTAAACCACAGCAGCCAACCACACCAACACACGTCCAAGTTGCTCATGACTTCGTCACCACCAAGCAGCAGCTATGGGAGAAGACTTAGCGTTCTCACACAACGATGCAGAATTAACAGAAACAGTATGCCGATCAACAACGACGTGATCACTCAGTAGCAGTCGGAAATCAGACTCTTTTGGACACACGTAACTTGGATTTATCTCTCCTCGCGTCCAAGCTTTGGTCTTTTTCGTGTTGAGGCCATACGTGGAAGCTTCACAATTCTTCCGTGTTCGGCTGTTGAAACCCTACAAGGACCCCAATCAGCAGTACTAGGGACGTCAGCTACCACCGCCACAAGTTCTCATACTGGATAAACCAGAGTACGAAGTGGAACGTGTCCTCGCGCATTGACGTCGACATGGCAACACGCTCAAATTCCTAATCTGGTGGAAGGGATATGACCCATCGGAGAACATCTGGGTTACAAAGGTTGATATGGGCAATGCAGGTTGTGATCTCAAGAATTATCTTGTCAAGCAGGGTGTTTCTTATGCCACCCAGCTTTTAGCGGGGGGACGTGTGAGAGTATGACGTTCGTTTGTACCTGAACTTGCTTCTTCTTATTTTATATTATGATTTATGTGTGTATTTCCTAGTTCGTTGATTTTACTATATTTATTATAATTTTAGGACTGGAATAGGCGGCGTGCACTGGATTCTTGTTTTCTAGAGCTATCTCTTGTGATCTGGCATATGTGTGCTTATCACGGAAATTACTCTACCGAATTCGGAAAGGTTTCATTCTTGACGGTTCCTAATGCACAGAACATTTGCGTAACATCCTATACTCACCATCACAAAAGACAATGCTTTGAAGCATTGGTCGACTGGACATTTGTACATTTCATAAGCACGACAAACGTATATCTATTTTCTATATCCTTTGTTCCATTTGCGTAACTACAAGGAAGTGTTTATCTTCTTGGAGCCTAGCTGCTCGGGAGTCCCATTTTCACCAAATTCTTTGGCCTGAAATTGTCCTTCCTCCATAGGCTACGCTCTATGCGATATTAGCCTAACTTTCTGCTACCACTCTTTGTTGTTGCTTCTATTAATAAACAAGAGGAGCTGTTATGATGAGCCCTTGATCGACAACTACTTAGACCTTCATCTACCGAACCAAATCTGAGACCTCACGTACAGTTGGTGTTGAAGAACAATTACACCCAATTTTGTAGAAAGGTCTATCCTTTGATCTCCATGTGGCTATTATCTGTCTACTTCATGTAAATTCTTGGTCGAGGCTAGGACCGGTCGCAGCTGAACCATTCGCGCGACAAAGTGTTAACACCACAAACTCTCTTAAAGACCTCAGTTTTAAGGAAGGTTGAAGTCGTCACCTCACCTCATATCTTCACTTCACATCCACCTTGCCATTTTCATCTTTCTACCCCTTCTCTTGATTAACGTAGCTTGTGTGTAAATTTGTGTTTCTTTCTTGAGGAGTTGTTTAAAATGGCTTTCTAAGAGATGCTAAAGCTCTTGCCTAACCAGGCTCCTCCCACTCACCGGCTCACTCATCTTGTCATCATTAAAAAACACAAAATAAGTAAGGCCTTTGCAACCCACCTTTTATCATTGATAAGACCATCATGCCTATGTGTTCTCCTTCTATTTTCACACTCACCCACCCCTCACCCCCGTCCCTTTTCCCCTTTCATACACGCGTGCAGAGCTGAAGGCACTGGGGCACGAGTTGGGGCTACTGGTAGTGGAGCTGGCAGACATGCTGGTATAGTGGCTAGCATGCCGCTACGGCCTTCTCTCCATGCCCCTTCCTTGTCTTGCCCCTCCAAACAATCTCATCGTTCCTAAAGGTCTCGTACCTGGTGATTTGTTGGTGGTCTTTTATTGATTGGGCGACCAAAGCTAGATCTGAAGGGGAGGGGGGGGGGAGGGAGGAATTGAGCTGGAGGGGGCTGATGAGCTGTACTAGATGTTTGGTGGTGTTAATAACTTGTCTGCGATCTTGCTTGGAGTAGCATTTGAGGCATTGAACAGACTTGGGGAATGCTTTTGGGAGTTCCATTTCTCCGGTGCTAAACCGCCATATGTTAAAGGTGGGGGTGCAGGCAAATGAGTGATCAACAAGTGGGGTGGTGTAGGGGGATGCAGAGAGTCATAGGAGGAAGGGATTGAAGAAACGGATGCAGTCCAGTCTGGCGAAAGTGAGTTGTGCTGGCCCGAGAGGAGCATGGCTAGCCGAAGCATGAAAATGAGGGTATGTTGGGGTGAAGTGAGCGGTGCGAGTCCATTGTGTGTTGACAAGAGGTTGGATAAATGGTGGCCTTGTTGACTTCATGGCCGTGCAGGTTGTGTTTATGGTCATCGGAGAGGATAGCTGAGTTAAAATCACCTACATGGACTGTAGCAGCCGTCGTGGTGGGTTGCTCAAGCAATGGTGTAGGGGTGGATCTCCACCATATCTGGCGATTTGTGGCCTAAAACGTGGCGTAGATAAGGAGGC